CCAACTGGGGCAGGAGACCCTCAGGGATAGCAGCACCAAAGGCGCAGGCGACGACAGACAACAGAATCACGAACTTGAACATAGTGCTCGTACAATGTCTTTATCGAATCGTGCTCGCGCTTATATAGGCAGTCGAGGGGCGTGCTATCTGTGGAGCTTGCAACTTATCAAAAACTATTGATTAATTTTACGCGAATACAACAAAGAAAATGAATAGAAACAATCTCGATTCCCGCTATTGAGTGGGAAATGTCAAGATTAGGCTGATCGGACCTGCTGCGTACGACACTTAGCTCGGGCTGACGTATCATGTACATGTACTCCGTTACGAGAAATTTTTGCTATATAAATCCTAGGTCTGCACACGACTAAAAACCATTTAATCGAGATGTTGACATTTGTAGCACTTCTTTGCATGGCCGCTTGCGCCTTGGCAGGCACCGTACCGGAGGGTCTGCTGCCGCAGCTGGATGGCCGCATTGTTGGTGGCTACGAGACCAGCATCGAGGATCATCCCTACCAGGTGTCGCTGCAGCGCAACGGTGCCCACTTCTGCGGTGGCTCCATCTACTCGCACGACATCGTGATCACTGCCGCCCACTGCCTGCAGTCGATTTCAGCCGAGCAGCTGAAGGTGCGCGTGGGCAGCACCTACTGGCGGTCCGGCGGCAGCGTGCACTCGGTACGTGCTTTCAGAAACCACGAAGGCTACAACCCCAGGACTATGGTCAATGACGTGGCTGTTATTCGCATGTCCTCTTCCATCAGCTACCGCTCTAGCGTGCGTGCGATTCGCATTGCCGACAGCAATCCTCGTAATGGCGCCGAGGCTATTGTCTCTGGCTGGGGCACTACCAAGTCCGGTGGCTCCATTCCCGATCATCTGTTGGCCGTGAGATTGAGGATTGTTGATCGCGAAGAGTGCGCCTCCAAGGAGTTCAGCTACGGCAGGCAGATTAAGGACACCATGATCTGCGCTTACGCCGAGCACAAGGATGCCTGCCAGGGCGATTCCGGTGGCCCCTTGGTCTCAGGCGATCGTCTGGTCGGTGTTGTTTCTTGGGGCCATGGCTGCGCTGATGTCAAGTACCCCGGTGTCTATGCTGATGTCGCCCACTTCCACAGCTGGATCGAGAGGACCGCTGACGAGCTGTAAGCTAGCTCAACTAAGCTTGAACTGTTCAAACCCCTACAATAAATTGCGCTACAATCTGAGTTTGTTCTTCAATTGTCATTTCAAGTGCTTGTAATCCCCCACTTACAGCTGATAACACCTAGCCTGAGACCCTATAAAAATGCACAGAGAAGCGTTGTAACTCTACCATTTTGGAACTGTACTCGACATGTTCAAGTTCGTGATTTTGTTGTCGGTCGTCGCCTGCGCCTTTGGTGCTGCTATCCCTGAGGGTCTCCTGCCCCAGTTGGATGGACGCATTGTTGGCGGCACTCCCACCAGCATCGGCAGCTTCCCCTGGCAAATCTCCCTGCAGCGTAATGGCGGCCACTCCTGCGGTGGTTCCATCTACAACTCCAGGATCATCGTGACCGCCGCTCACTGTCTGCAGGGCGTGTCCGCTTCCAGCTTGAAGGTGCGTGCCGGTTCCACCTACTGGAACTCTGGTGGCTCCCTCATCCAGGTCGCTGCCTTCAGGAACCACGAGGGCTACAACCCCAACACCATGGTCAACGACATCGCTGTCATCCGCCTGAGCTCTGCCCTGTCCTTCAGCTCCAACATCAAGGCTATCGGTCTGGCTTCTTCTAATCCTGCCAACGGTGCTTCCGCTTCCGTCTCTGGCTGGGGCACCCAGTCATCTGGATCCAGCTCCATCCCCTCCCAGCTGCAGTACGTCAATGTGAACATTGTCAGCCAGTCCCGTTGCGCCTCCAGTGCCTACGGCTATGGTAG